GGGGGAGAAATGACCCAAACATTGTATGCACATATGAAAAAAAAAAAATCACATCTTACTCCTGTGTGGACAACTTGCCATGTGTCTCCATCTATTCATTTCCTGGAGGAAGGTAAATCATTTATCATCAACTAGTACCTTTAAACCAGACCAGCTGGTACACCCAAAGAAGTGACCTGTTTCTATACCTCTGCTTCTGAAGAAAAGTTACTGAGATGCAAAGCAGAGTAGCTTGGAAGAAATCTACGGTTACCACTTACTATAACTACTAAATGGAAATCTGAACACATGTCATAATCAGGGAGATAAGATAAGTGTTGCCTCATTACCCATTTAGTGAACAATATGGATTTATAGTAATTATGGACTTTTCTACAGATGAAAAATACGGTGAAATTTAGAATTATAAAAAAGAAAAGAATAGAAATGTCAAGATCCCGACATTACTATTCAGAAGCCAACAGTTCTTGCTACCACACTTGCTTGTCCTTAAAATTTAGTTTTGTCACTGCTAGAGGTTAACCTACCTGGAATTTCCAGCTCATTTCTCAGAAACTCCACTTTAAACTGACTCATCCAGGGCGAGTATTCTTTCAGATTTCCAGGTGGCCTTGAATCTTTTCTCATTTTTATAAGCAGTGAGTCAGTAATTTCACTGAAGTCATGGAGCTTCATTCTAGGTAACTTAGAACCTTGACTTCCAAAGTGTTTATCAAATTCTTTCCCAAAGGCCTGAAATCAATAATAAATTACTAGAGAGATTTAACATTCAGTTTAAACTTTCGAAAAAGGCTCCAAGCTTATGAAGTTACCTAATAACAAGTACCCAATAGATAGGTTTCTTCTTACTTCAGGATTTACAATTTCGCTTTCCTTGAATATTTCAATACTCTAAACATTAGGTTACTTACTTTTTGTTTGGGTCTTGTCTTCCCTTAGAAATGTCAAAATTAGAATGACTTGTAGCTATGAATTCTATAAGGGTTTCAAAACTTGGCAAGGTCATTTAAGCTCTTTGTGCTTGTTGTCTAGTTTTGGATCTACATCATTCTGATGATACAAATAACTAAAAGCAAAGTAAAGGGAGTATTTCAATAAAAATGGCCCAGTAATTCTTCATATGAGTCAAAGAGGAAAATACAAGAATGCTATTTTCCTTAGTAAGATTCTTCTGAAGTATTTTGGATCATAAACTAGTATAAATATTATTTAGAGATAATCTATAATTCTAAAAACAATTATTAGAAGTACTCTACCTAGGAATAAAGCAATTCTTTCACTGTATTAGTCTTACTCAAATATACATGTGAATGAATATTTATATCAAATTAAAAATGAAACAAAATCCAAGAATACTACTAATAGTAACTTATCAAAAAATACCTGACCATCATTAATTAGAAAAGTCTATCTAATTTAGAACTAGTTCCACAACATAAATCTAACAAAAATGAAACATATGCTCTACTTTAAGACAAATTCACTACAGGAAAACTCACATATAGGGCTGGTGGAGTGGCTCAAGCAGTAAGAGCACCTGCCTAGCAAGCATGAGGCTTGGAGTTCAAATCCCAGTGCCAACAAAAACCAAAACAAAACAAAAACAAACCTGACATACACAAAACAGGTTTCTCTGATCTATAAATAGATTAAGTATAAAAACAAAGGACTGGGAATGATGTAGCTCAATGACAGAGTACTTGTCTACCATGCCCAAGGCCCTGGATTCCATCCCCAGCACCAATGGAGGAAAAAAAAGTTTCCAGTTTAGTAAAAATAAAGAAATAATTCACAAGTTTTAGAATACAAGGAAAGACCAGTTATTTTCCAAATGGAATCAGCAACACCATAGTGTTAAAAGGCAAAATGCCCTCAAGAATTCTCTAAAGTGAAATTTGAGCCAATTTCTTTTGGTTGGTTATTGTTTAAATTAATTTTAAAAATTAATTTAATTTAAAAATTAAAAATTGTTGATTTGGTATAAGGTACAAAGTTCTGGATAGACCCTCATTGTACTAGAAATTAAACTCCAAACAATTTCATGCCTGGTAGGAACTGTGGACATGTTTCAGCCACTGTGCCACTGCCTCCAGATGAAAGTCGGTGCAGCTGTGCTGAGAGGAACACCAGTCTATACTGATAGAGTTTTAGGGCAGAGTCTTATAATTCCCAGAATGCAGGAAAAGGAAGTAGCTATGAATTCAAAGGCATAGTCCATAGTCTTCATGGGGGCTACACAGAATTTTTCAAGTAAGGCCAATCTCAGTCTGGTACAGACAGGGTGCTGAAGGATAGGGTAGGCACAGGAAAAAGCTGCTGCTGAAATGAAACCCTTTCATAAGGACACCCCCATCCTGTGCTGTGAGGAGCCCCTAGTCCAGTTCCCACTTTCTGCTGTCATCCATACTGAGCAAATGACCTGCTTATTTAGCTCCAGCTTCTTTATTTAGGACAAAGTTTAGCCAACTATAGCCTGACTTACAAGCCATACTTAACCCACTGCTTGCTTTAATAAACAGGATTTTGCTAGATGCTTACAAGCAGGCCCACCTGCCAAGGCACTGTCTAGGGCTGCCTTTCCCACCATGACCAAAGATGCGAGTTCTGGACAGTTCTGGTATGGCCTGAGAAGCTGAAACCTGGGCCTTTAAAGAAAAAGTATATGGGCCACTGACTTAGCAAAAACTAAACCTTGACACACTTTTCTATATCCAGTATTCTATCATTTTATAATTTTATTATTTCTAACCCCATTAGTTTTAAGTACAACTTCTTACCCCATTTAATTACAGCTCCTGTTCTGAGTCCCATGATGTGGACTGGACCTCAACAGATATTCTAAAGCAAAGTATATGGGTTCATGGTGATATATACACTTTTAGGGTGTTCACCTGGTCACACTTGGACCAGAGATAATCCTGTATGTTCCTACATTCACACCTTTAACTCAAACTACACCAAATAGGAGTGACCAAGCAAAAGCAATCTCCACTTATCAAAATTATCTCATTAATTTAATTAAAGATGCCTGCTTCATCCCAGGCAATATACTAGAGAGACAAAAGTCAAAACAAAATCCCTGCCCACAAATCTAAGTCAGGAAGCAAAAATAAAAGGAACAGAAGAAAACCAAAATGGTTTTTCACTCCTGAGGATGTGCCCACAAGAACTGAAAACCTGTATCTCAACAAATATTTGCACATGGATGTGCAAAGCATCACTATTTATAAAAATTAAGAATGTCCATCAACTGATGAAAGAAGAAACAAATCATGGCATATCCACACAGTAAAATAACATTCAGCAATAAAAAAGAAAGAAGCACTGGTGCGTACTACAGCATGGCTCAACTTTGCAAACATTACACTACATGAAAGAGGCCAGAAGCCACACATATTGAACGACTCCAACTTGCAGAAAGGTCCCGAAGTGGTCAATCCTTCGAGATAGAAAGTAGTTTAGTGATTAGCAGGGGCTGGCAAGGGCAGGGAATGGCGAGGGACTAATTGAAAATGGGTACAGAGTTACGTTATATGGTGATGAAAATGTAAAATTAAGGTGGTGATGACTTCATAACTCTATGAATATACTAAAAGCTATTGTATTGCACACTTTAAATGAATGAATCGTGGGATATGTGATATATTCTAATAAAGCAGTTATTTACAAAAACAAAAAACAAAAAACCCATAAGGAACGAAGATCCTCCTTTGCATTGTAGGTGGTGGCCTGGACTCTACCAACATGAGTACCATGACTTTTTTAGACCCTTAAACTTCTTGAGATTTAATAAACAAGTTAGTTGATAAAGGATGGAGAAAACAAGTCATGTGATGAATGGTGAAAATGAGGGAAGGTGTTTCAGGCAACGGAAGGAGCACCTGGTTCTTCTTGGACCATTGGGAGGAGGAGGGTCAGGGAAGGTGCTAACGGGTCTGAAGCCAGTACCTGAGGGTAGGTCTCCAGACAGATCAGGGAGAGGAGCCATACCAAGGCCCTCAGCAAGCCCCACTCACTCCATAACTTCCTCCAAACAGAGGTGTCTTTCCTTCCAGCTCTAGAACAATCATGAACATCTCTGAAAACAGATCTCCACTATCACACTCATACTGTGCATAGCTTTTTATGAGCAGTGATTTGTCACACAATCCCTCTGACCATGGGAACTGAGTCTGTCTCTGTATCTTTGAGCACCCATACCTTGTGTCCTAAACTAAATGCTTGGGAATACTAATCAAGTTATGTAAGATACAAATATTTTCTTTCAAATCATCAAGGTAATTAAAAATACTAAACCATAAAACCATCAGATCTCAGAATCTGAGCAGGAAGAACAGAACATAATAAAACCCTGAGGTCTTGCCTATTGTCCCAGTTGTCATCATCTGACCTAAACATATTCTATCAGTACCTCACAGAAAGCATCAGACAGATCTTAAACAAGCTTATAAATCCATCAAACATAAAACCACAATTGTCAGCAAGCCATCAATTATGAGTACTGATCTTTCCAATACATTTGCTACCACTAAGGCAGCTGTGTCCATCCATACCTGAATAAACTTCCTTCTAAAGGGCCCCAGGCCTGGAGCACGCAGGTTGCCCAAGGCTGCATACATCCTTTCATAAAGTTTTTTGATATTTTTTTCATTTACAGAGTTTTTTCCTAGTTCATCTTTTATATCGGCAACCCAGTCCTGTGTAAAAAGGAGACAGAGAAAATAAGAATCAAGCTAGACTATAAGTGAGCTTTACCCAAGTTCTGTTCTATGTGCCAAAAGTTGTTCTCTTACCTTAAAGAGCAGATCAGGATTAGAGAGCTGTTCTAGGGCATTAATAAAATCTTGAATCACTCCTCTCTGATCTAACTTACTTTTGATCCTATAAAAAAATTACAAGGTTTAGGTAATCAAACATTTTCCAAAGATCGAGGCCATACACTCATATAATTCAGTATTTTTAACACATACAGATATTATATAATTAAACATAAATGTACACATTTATGTGTCATATCTACACACATCAATACATAGTCTAGGGAAGGAGCACTTTCAGAATCCCATCCAACATTAGATTTGCTCTATGAAGAGCGTGAAGTTCATAGATGAGGTAACTGGATGTGTACACTTTGGTGTACACAATTTACTTTATGCATTTTCTGAACTTATGAAAGATCACTTTCTCTTAAATCTTTCTAATATCTTCCTTTTAAAAAAAATCTCACTGTGATAGACTCTGTTGGGAGATGGTGATGTCTGTGATGTACACAAAATGTGACAGTAACTGTGCCTCACTCTCCTTAATCTTTTCTAAATCAAAACACCCAAAACAATGGGGCAAATCAGCTCATGACAAAAACAGCCCTTGACGGAGAATGCACCCAGAACAAACACCATGTACTAAAAAGGTATTCTTATAAAAGCTGGGCTACTTTTATCACTATGTCAATAGTCTCTACTTACAAATCAAATGAAGAAGTGAAAAGAATGACAACTTTAGACTGTCTACTGAGTCCTATTTCAGAAGAGAAGCCAGGCTGGCCTTGAACTCACAATCTCTTGCCTCAGCATCCTGAGATGCTGGGATTACAGGTGTGCACCACTATACCTGTATTTTGAGACAGGGTTGCTTATATAGACCAGGCTGTGTTGCTTATGTAGCCCAGGCTGGCATGGAACTTGAGATTCTCCTGCCTCAGTCTCCTCAGTGGTTGGGACTAGAAGTATATGTCACTATGTACCTTTTAAATTAAACATTGATTCAGAAATGATTGGAAAAAGCATTTCATCTAGTCTGCCTGAGCCAACAGATTATTAACTAGGACAGTAACAGCAACCAATCTGAGGTGCAATCTATTTTTAAAAAGGGGAGAAGGGCTGATGGAGTGGCTCTAGTGGTGGTGTGAGGCCCTGAGTTCAAGCCCCAGTTCCACCAAAATAAATAAGTAAATAAATAAAAAAGGGAGTAATTTTGTAACAAACACAATATACAGACAAGATATATGCAATAGGTGTCTAACACATGTTTCCATGTGTTTGCTTTTATCACACACATTTTTAATGCCCTGTAGTGTTTGAGTAACCCAATCATTGTGTAACTTCACCTTGCCACGAACTCCTGATTCTTATGGCCAGAAGCAGTATCTTTGAAGGAATAGCTTTCGCTACTTATGATCAAAGGATAGGTGACTGCCTGTGGATAGTTATTGGCAATCTCTTCCACAGTATGCTGCACTGCAATGGCTTCCTCTTTGTCCAGTACGGCCACCATGTGGCTGATCCAACCAATGAACTGCCAGCAAGGAATGCAAGAAATCTAAAACACAGAGAGCTGTGACTTAAGATTGAACAAAGCATTTGACATATCTTATCATAGAGGTAATATATGTCTAATAAAAAAAATAGTCTCCTATCCCTTGGCTTTCTTTGACAGATACAACTGCCAGATCCTTCCAGACATTTGCTATGCAGGTATATATCTGTTTACAAAAATGAATCAGACTTGACATATTGTGGGTTTTCTTAGATTTACCTCACTTCTTTTAACAGCTGTATAATATCCAGTTTTAATTAACTAGTGCTCTGTAGTGAATATTTATTTTCCAATTTTTTGCTGTTCCAAGTAATACAATGGAAATTCCTATACACACATACCTCTCTGTACTTGTGCTATACACCTGTAGGATAAATTTCCATAAGTAATATTACAGTGTAAACATTAATAATTACAATATACATTGCTAGGAGATCCAGAAAGATTTTTCAAATTTTCATTTCTAAAAGTATTAGGTAACTTACAAAATCCTTACCAACATTGGACACAATGACTTTTCAAATGACTGTTAATCTGGGAAGCAAAAAATGTGTAGCTTAGGTTGGGTATGGTGGCATATGCCTATAATTCCAGCTACAAAAGAGAAAGCTGAAGGACTGTGATCTGGGGCCAGTACAGGGAAAAACTGCAAGAGCCTATCTGAAAGGTAAAGGTGAAATACGACCAAGGGCATGGCTCAATGATAGAGCCTTGCCTGGTAAGGGTGAGGCCCTGAGCTCAAAGCCAAGTGTCTCCAAAAAAGAATTAAAAGTCTAATTTAAACTTTCATGTTCCATTGTTAGAAAGGCTGAAGATTTCATGTTTATTTGTGTTACATACTTTAATCCTGAGTACATTTCCTTTAAGCACTTCCCCTTGCCCCAGGGCTAGCCTCAGGCCACAATCCTAACTGTGTCTACCACCCATCTGGCTGAGATTATAAGCATGTACCACCATGCCCAGTTTGTTTTCTGAGACCAGGTCTGCTAACTTTTGCCCATCTCCACCTCTTATATAGCTGGGATTACAAGCACCAGGACACGTGGCTCTTCCTTTAACCATTTTCTTCTTGTCTGTTATGATCGCTTACTTGGAAGATGGAAACATTAGTTTTCTTTCTCTTATATATATTACATTTTTCTTCCAGTTTTCTTTTAAACTTTGTATACAGCTTTGACAGGTCTATTTCTGTAGAGACGTGTCAAATTATCTTTCTTTATGGCTCTTGGCTTTTATTTCTTTGTTATCATTTAAAAATGTGTGTATTTTTAGGTATTATTTTCAGGGTAAAACCTAACACATTTGCAAGGCTGGCATTAAGGAGGAACTTGGACAAGCTGCCCAGCTCATAAGTAAATGGAGGACAGTGAAACATGCATGAGGATAGCAGAAGTCAGACCACAGAGAGGTTGACACGCTCCCTTGCAAATGATTAACAGGAGTCATAACAACATCAAACCATGTTTAACTGGTTGACTGACTGACTGATTGATTTAGTTAGTTAGGTTTTTGAGACAAGGTCCCACTATGTAGCCCAGGCTACCCTTGATCCTCCTGCTTTAAACTTCTAAGTGCTGAGATTATAGGTATGCCTTACCATACCTGGCCCCTGATACTCCATTTACTTCCTTACATATTCAAAATGGTATTTTTAATCATATAAATAAAATATTTTAGGAAAAAACTAAAATCATAAAAGCTCTTTTATTATTTGCTCACTTATCTTCAAGAAAAAAGCATACAGACTGCATGTCTGAATTTACTTTAATCTCCTATTTAATACCTACTGGAAAATCCCACCATTCAAAATCCACAAGAATTGAAGACTGCATTGAGAGCCTTGATAGCCAGGTCCTCTCAGTTCAGAGACAAGCACTGTTTAAGAACTCACAACACAGCAAGGTAAGGTGGTGCAAACCTATAATCCTAACTACTTCAGAACTGGAGGCAGGAGGATCATGAGTTCAAGGCCAGCTGGGGCAAAGTTACTGAGACCCTATGTCAAAAATGAAATAAAAACAAAAGGCCTGCGCATGAGGCTCAAGTGGTAGGGTGCTGTTTGAGAGGCCTGGGTTCCATTTCCAGTATTAGTAAGGAAACAAAACAAAACAAAAAAACTCTCAACATAAAGCTAATAGAACATTTGGTTTGCTACACACACACACACACACACACACACACACACACACGAAAACCTTACTCAAACCTTTAGGCTTTGGGACCTGTTGAAGTCAGTCTGCTTGGGCTAAATAACAATTGAGTATAAGGCACCAACAGATGTTAAAGCTTCTTTTGTATGGGGCTGTAAACTGCCACACAAAGCCCCAGTTCTCTGCCCCAGACACACCTCTCCTCAATTTCTTTGGTTCCTTGTTCAGATATCACATCCTTATAAATACCCACAGTGAAAAACAGTAAATATGAATACTCTTTTAACCATTTTGAATTAATTATGTTCTTAAAATGTAGCATAATTTAATGCTGGTTGGAAAAGCTGTATCATGTGCACCATGCACACTAATGGGCATCTTTCCTTTCTTTTCTTTTTGGTGGTAGTGAAGGTTGAATTCAGAGCTTTTCACTTGCTAGGCAAGTGGTCTACTTGAATCATCCTTCTAGCCCACTAGTGTGCATCTATAAAGTTCCCTTTCACTTACTAGGATACCAACCTCTTTTCTCATTAGGTTCAAGGTCTCCTCTGGATAATGTTCTATAATCTGAAGTAATCTAGGAAACTTCAGCCTGGCTTCAGTGGAATTTAATTTTAAAGCTCTCAACATATTCTCCACCACAAGTGCTGGATACACCTCCATTCCTACAGAATCTGTAACTATCAAGAAGAACAAAGAGGAAAACAATGGTCAACATATTCACTTGTACATAAAACTATAAATGGCACAAATTTTGGCTTATATTTTTTAGTATGTGGTTGTTCTCTTTTGAACAAGTACTTTTAACCAATAAATATACATTTTTGTGTTTGTATCTGAAAGCTGAATCTTTCCATTAGAGTATCCATTCTGCATGAAGCACAAATGCATCCTGGACTGAGAACCTTATGTTCTCTGCTGCTAAGGGCAGCTGCTAATTACTGAATTTACTCCTAGAACAGGAGGCAGGCCACATGAGCCAAAAGCAAACTGCAAGCAAAATATGAGGTCAGAAATAAAACAAATAAGCCGGGTATGGTGGTACATGTCTATAATCCCAGCACTTAATTGGTGAAGGTGGGAGGATCCAGAGTTAAAGGCCAGCCTGGGCTATAATGTAAGACCCTATCCCAAAAAACCTAAGGGCAAGTGATGTGGCTCAGTGGCAGAGTACTTGTTTACCAGGCACAAGGCTCTGAGTTCACTCCCTAGCATCACCACCACCAACAAAAGAAAATAATAAAATGAAACGGAAATATGGAAGACAGCTTAACTCTATTTAAATGAAGCCCATGTTGCTTAGAAATGGCATTGTTCTGAAGAAGGCAACAGACTTCTCTCAAAATATTTGTCACTGGAAAACAAAAATATGGAAAACCAAAAGCATCCACAAATTTCTTAAGACGTCATGTTACATAATGGAATACTAACTTGGTTTTTTCTTTTGTGATTCACTGGACGCATTCTCTTCCACTTTGCGGAGCTGTTGGTCACAGAAATCCACTAGCGTCATATAAGCACTGGTCACCCAAGTTGCAGGCCCATGGCCCCAGGAAGAAGCCTGGGCTTCCTCTTCAGCTGTCCTCACAGCCTTGGAGAGGTGATAGAATGCTCTCTGGTACAGACCCATGATTGCCTAGAATGTACATGCTGCCTGAGTGAATCAAGAGCTTCAAAATAACACTAAAAAGCCAGATGTGGTGCTTGTACTCAACTGAGGCGGGAGGATCACTTGAGCCCTTAAGTTCAAGGCAACACAGTGAGGGCCCCATCTCAAGAAAGTAAATAAATAACACCAAAAGCTATGTCAATTGGAAAAAGGAGAGTTGGCCTTGTGAGGGAGTAAGCAATGCCAATAAAATCGTGAGCGTACAACAGACAAACAAAAAACAAGTCAGAGAGTCCATGATCCACATAGAGCTGAGGCGGGTCAGCAGGGTAGTGTGGTTCCATGGGAATTTACAAAAGGGATGGAAGCTGTTGTCTGTCCTGCACAGACACTGCTGGCATCTGGGAAGGAGAAGACAAAGCCACACAATTGAAGTGAGGCAGGCAACCATGAACTTAGGAGGAGGTTGATACTTTTGAAAATAAAAAATACTCTGAAAAAAGCTAAGCTAGGCAGCACTAATACAAAAAACGAAAAAGGCTGCTTCATCCCACAAGCTGGTAGGAACATCTGAATGGCAACTAGTGGTAAAATTTCATTGACAAAATTCTGGGAAAACTGTACATATCCATCCAACAAAAACTTCTCATTTTTAATCCTACAAAATTTGTATATTTCAAATAAACAGGAAACACATGGAGTATGTCAATTCTCCACATAATAAACTTGGGTGTGCATAACTGTCAAACATTTTAAAAACACAAAGTGATGCTATCATTGTTGCTTTCCTGTGGCCTAAATGCTGCATGCACATAAAAGATATACAGCACACAAACAAGAAATGTTCCCTCATCCCATTTTCATTACCCTTTCTGCACTCTCTGCACTGGATCCAGAAAGCTCCAAGATCCGTTTAGCCTTGCTCTCCTCAATGTTAGCAAGGCAGGCTGGCTCACTGCTGAGAGCATTGGCTATTATTCTGTAAGTAGTACCCAAGAGAATGTTCTGATCACAGGAAGCCACAATATTTTTGCTTAGGTAGCTTGATGTGTTATTCTCATCTATTGGATTAGGAGAAAAAAAAAAAAAAGAATTTTTTTCCTGAAGTATATGAATATCATTAAAAAGAAGAAATTCACAGAATATATAAGTTGATTTCTGACAAGAAATTAATTAAAATAAATCTTGAAAGTACAGGAAAACTGGCTTCAAGTAATGGTGAAAAATTTTCTTGGCTTGAATGGCAAGGTGGCAACAGAGTAGCATCACCCACAATTATTCCTTGCAGATACACCTCAGTAAACAGCAATTCTCTCACCTAATTCCCTGCAGAACTACTAAGATACTAAGTGCTGGCATTAAAGTAGTGTTGATTCCATCAACTTCCATCTTCTTCCAGAGAAGCTAGACACAGACACACAGACACACACACACACACACACACACACACACAGACACACACACACACATGTTTGTAATAGTGAGACTGTTTGAGGGGAATAGGGTGAAGTAAAGAGAATGATATAGTAAATACTATCGAAATACAATACATCTGTGTATGAAGATGGAATAATGAAATGCACTAAAAACTGTTAAATAATAGGGGTTTAGGAAGGATAGGGAAAGAGAGCAATAGTGGGGGTTAATTTGACCAAAGTACAAAATATGTAAGTATGAAAAACCATGGCAAAACCCCTTTAGACAATGTATATCCACTTTAAAAAGTGAAGGACAGGAATGAAAAGCAATCCTGTTTGGAGATGGGTATTAGTGGAAGGGAGAAGGTGAACGAGAGCAAATACGGTGGATGTACTTTGTATACTTGTATGAAAATAGAACAGCGAATCCTTCTGAGATTGTCTTAAGAAGGGGGGAGAGGAGATGAAGGAGAATGATGAAGGGGTGAATCTAACCAAAGTACATAGTAAGCATACATGGAACTGTCATAATAAAACCCCCCATACAACTACTATATGCTAATAAAAATGTTTTTTAAAAAAGAATTTCTTAGACTCTATTAATGGAAAAACAATTTCATTAAAAGTAACTATATCAAAGTCCACAGAAACTAGGTAATTAAAACTAGGAATTAACTTTTCATTCAAGCATCATCATCCTACATTTTGCCAAAGCACCTAATTGTTTCTGTTGTAAGGAACAGAAAATGTGTACACATTTGTGTGTACATATTAACGACTCAGAATAGATTCTTACATTGGTACTTCGGCATATGATGCTACAACAGCTACAGCTGGACTTGTTACCATGTGGTGCTGGGCAAAGAACTCAGGCTTGCATCACCAGCAGTGTATAACAGTGTGCAGATTAGGAAGTCCAGCAATGTGGACCCTTGTCCCGTTGTCTTCTGTGCTTGAGTCACTGCTGATGCTCTCACACACTGGCTATTCAGCAAACACAGCTGTTACGAACTACAACCATGCTCGAACTGTAGGATTGTTACTATCACTGGATCTGATATTTTTATTTGACAGTTTGGGGATCAAACCCAGGGCCCCATTGCATGTTAGACAAGTGCTCACATACTCTTATCATTCACAAACTCACCCCATAATGATTCAAGAAATCCTAGTTTTCTGGCCCTGGGTCATTTTGAGTCAGTGCCCCTCCTCTTGGCACTTTCCCTGAGGCTGCTGTTCTGGCACATGCTCTGTCTCACTTCAAAGTCCTGGGGTAGTGCTAACCCATCCCCTTGGTGAATGGAGGCAGGGCAGGAGTATCAAATCCAATTCACACCCTAGAAAGCTTTGCTCCTCAAGTATAAAGGCTACATCATTATCATGAAAAGAAAAAGGCTCATCATGTTTAATTTTTTTCATCTTATATTTAAGTTTAAAGTTTTCAAAATAACCTACTAGACCTGTAATTTGGTTAAGTGTTAAAGAGAAAATTTTAATTTCCATTTTATGTCATGTTGGATAACAGCAGCACACAAAGTTCCCTGGCTCCAGATCTTTTACTTTGTTTCCAAAGAAATGACATCCTTCTCTCCCACACCATTTTTGCTGTGCCACATGTCAGAGGAAGCAGCATCAAGAAAAGTTTTTGAAGACACACAAGACAACATAAAATAGCATTCTAAAATGTATGTGGACAACAGCAGGCTAATTACCCAACAGCGAGATGGTTTTCAGCACAGTGAGGACCTGCTCGGGAGGTCTCTGCGTGTGGCTCCGGCAATGGCTCAGCTGGCAGTAGCAATGCACCCACCTCACGAGCCAGTCATCTCTCGTTTTTGACTCCTTATGTAGCTCCTTCAGTAGTTTCATGGCAAGTGAGAAATTGTTCTATTTAACAGCAGAAAAAGAAAATGGTATGGTGACTTATAGGGCAGACAGTTTAGAAAGAAAATTACTTTTCAAAAGAAGTTTTCAATTGGCCTACTCCCCTTTTTGCATTATACATAATCTGCCTTGGACCAGCCAATCTATTTCTTAGCTGCAGATTTTTCTTCTTTGTAATTATTATTTTAAAAACTTAATATACCTTAAATGTGCCTTAAATGTGTGTCTGTGCAGCAGAGACACCATATGCCTTTATCTGTTTGTGGACATTTGGGTTGTTTCTACCTTTTCAGTTAATTTAAGTAATGTTAAATGTGAACACATGTTTACAAACTTCTGTGTGGATCTGTGCTTTCATTTCTCTTGAGTGTGAGCCTAAGAGTGGAATTGCTGGGTTATATGGTAACTCTATGAAACTGCCAGGCTATCTTACACAGCAGATATGCCATTTATATTTCCATTAGTAATGTATAGAGTACTGATTTCTCTACACTCTGGCTAGCATTTATCTGGTTCTTTGATGTCAATGTCATCATAGTGGACATAGAGTGATATCAAGTTGTAATACTGATATGCATTACCATTATGATATGTTGGTCATCTTTTTATGTGTTTTCTGGACATTTGTATTTTTTCTTTGGAGAAATGTCTATTCAAATTCTTTGCCCATTTTTTAACTGGATTGTTGTACTTTCTGTTCAGTTGTAAAGTGTTCTCTCTGTTTTTAAGGGCCTTATCTTTCTTTGTTTTCTGAGACAGGGTCATGGTATATAGCCCAGGTTGGCCTTGAACTCAGCAATCTCCTGCCTAATCTCCCAAGTGGTAGGATTATAAGCATCTACCACCATAACCAGTGGTAAAGTGTTATTTATATATGTCAAATACTAGACTTTTATCAGATATCTGAACTGTAACTATTTTCTCCGATTATTTACATTGTCTTTTTGCTTTTTCTTAAGCATATATTTTAAAGCACAAAAGTTTTTAATTTTGATAAAGTTCATTTGTCTGTTTATTTAGTTGGTCATTACATGGATGCCTTTTAGGTATATACCTCTGAGTCTCTCTCAACCTCTACTCTCCTCCCTCCACAACACCACCTTTCTCTCTTTGCTTTTTCCCTGAGTAGCCAATCTTCCACACAGCTTCCAACTTTAAAAAGTATGCTTGGAGAGTCTGCAGTAATGTCCTAATTCCTGAAGGATACAGCCTCCAGCTTCCATACACATCTGAGTGGGTCACAATCCTCCTCAAACCTACCATCAAATTATAAAGGCTCAGAGTAGACTCTACAATTCATATGCCCCTTCTGCAGGTGTCCCCACCACAGGGAGAATCTCTCTTCTTCCCTGTGTCCTAGCATTGGGACATCTCCTCTCTTCATTACCTGTGTTGTTACTGTTAAGTGTGTAGCCTTGCTCTCTCACAGACAGGAGACAGGACAGCAGGAATAGTTCTTTTCCTTATAATGCAACCACTGGGACCCTAATCTGCATCAGAATGCCCTCACCACCAAGTTCTTAAACTCAAATTATCCTGTTCAGACCACAGGCCTGCTCTTCTGCCCACCACTTCCCTGTGATGCTTGCTTTACAACCCACCTCACACCCTTGTGGCCATGCTTGTCTTGTTTCTGTTTTCCTTTCCTTTCATGCCCCAGGAAACAACCAACTATTTCCACCTATCTAACCAACACACATCAGCCTTCTCTGTATCATACCAGGCTCTGGGTAAACCTACATGCATACCTGTTCTGCTCCTGTACTGGGGGCTCATCACAGATTCCCTGGAGACAACTTCACTACATTCTCTAAGATGCTAAATAATCATTTCCACTGTGGTTGTCAACCCCACTACCTTCCTCCACAGTCATGCTTTTCAGCCTCCTTGTTTTCCTCTGCTGTCATTCCCTAGCACCCCTACTCACTCTCAGCATGCAGCAACTCTCCCTTGAGGCTAAACCTACTCTTCCTCTAGTACAATAAAGAGGATTCACCCTTGCTCTAAAGCTACAATGACAACTTCCACAAGTACTCATATCAGCAATTATCCCTTCCACTATGCCCAAGCTCTCCTGACCTATCAATTCCTTCCATGTATCTTGTCATGTTCCTATGTCTGCCTGCTGCTCTACAGAACCCTCACCATGGCCCTCTACCTGACTCTGCTCAAGTGAAATGGTTCTCTCCAAAATCCTTCTAAAAGCAAGGACACTCTGCAACCTTCTTCTACTTGCTCTCTTTGAAAGATGAGTAACTAAGACTGAAGGTGGTTGGCTCTACCCTCTGAGCTTACAGCCTCTTGGCTAGGTTTGAACCTTTTTGCCCTTTACTGCTGGTTCCTTTACAAGTGCCTTTTTTTTTTTTTGGGAAGTACTGAGGTTTGAATTCAGGGCCTAAAGTTTGCTAGGCAGACACTCTACCACTTAAGCCACACTGCCACAGGCTATTTTTGAGATAGGGTCTCACTTTATACTTGACCTGGAACTGTAATCTTCTCAATCTCAGTCTCCCATGTAGCTGAGATGACAGGCTTGAGTCAACGCATGCAGCCACAGGTGCCTCTTCTTTGCTTATACAAAACTGCTGTTTTTTCTCAGAATTTGGTCCTAGTTAACCTATCTACTTTGACAGTTTTCAATGATTAGAAAACATATGAATCTCATTCACACCTATCACCACCCTAAATTCTTTCTCTAGAGCTTCAGATTTCTTATGTGCAAACTATCCAATGCAAGTAACAACTCATCTTAAAGCCCCTACAACTTTCACATGTCCCAAACTGAATATATCATCTTCCCCACAAACTACTCTTCCTCCATCATTCCTATCCACTCAGCCTTGAGGACAGGACCAAGTGCCATCGTTTCCCCAAAGAGAACAGCCATTATGTCTTATCTGAGCTCTACGTACCCATTTCCTGATCTCTCACCTAGGCATGACCACCAGCATCTCTCAGTCAGTGCAGCAGTCTGCTAATCCTCTGCCACCTCCCCAACCCCATCTCCTCCCTGCAACCATAATGCTGTGTCAAAGTTGCACCTGTGACCATTGGTTCCAGTGTATTCTTGCACAACGTTTGCTCCCCTCAGGAGACCAAGAGCCCTAGGTTACTCCTTGGACTCATGTATTTTGTCTATGAGTTTCCAACCAGACATCATCTACTTTGAAAAGCTTTTTTTTGTTCCCACAAGAAGTGTGAGTTATCTCTCCCATGTCATTGTCTTTCAGTACTTATCACGAACATCATATGATATCTGCCTACTTGTTCTACATATCCTGTACCTTATGAAGTGTTTGCTAATGAAAAGTAAAACTCAAATGGCAAATCTACTACTTCTGAAGAGTTTTAAAGTGAATGGGCATTTGAATTGAAATGCAATTCAAATAGGTTTCATATTACCTTCAAATAAATTTCCTATAAATTTATCTTTTTCTCTCTACCCTCAATATTACTAGTATTACTGCTTTCTTTAGTCCACATTTATATGCATATATATTGTAGCAAAATGCTGAAAAAAAGCCAATGTATCACAGAAAAGATTTCTAGCTCCCTAATGATTCTCCAAGGATTTCCCAACAATGTGCTCATAATCTACTGCCTCCTGTCTCATGAAGTCCCTTCCCCACTTGAAGAAGCTGGGCAGCAGTAGAGAGCATAGCCTGTCCTTCAGAGACAAGTACCCTGATTTCCTTCTAAGCAGTGTGCATCCCCTCAGCCAGAAGCTGGGACAGCCCTTCCTGTCCAAGCAGAGCCAATGAGGCCCAGAGAGACAGCAGGTGGTACTTTCTGGAAAGAAAACTTTTTTTTTTTTTTAAAAAGGACCTAATCAAAGGGAAGCAGCCATCCAAGAAGATTGCTGTGGAAGAAGTATGACAATACATCCTCAGCCATTTTCAACTACCAAGAGCGAGCCTGGAGCTGCCAGGGTCACTAAGCAGAACCAGGGGCAAAAATGATGCAGTGGGAGACAACCAAGGGAAGGAATCAGGCACTTGAAGACAGTAGTTGAGACACACCTAAAGTCAGCCTCTAGGCTTCTAATTCATGGGAACTGATAACATTTCCTTTATTCTCTAAGCTGCTCTGAGTTGGATTTTCTTTCTATACAAAAATTTCTGTCTGATAGAATCCAAATTCCAAATACATGAATATGTATAAATGGATATATGTATAAATGGATATACGTATAAGTGAATATTTAAGCCTTCAAAACAGAAAAAAAATCTATTAGAATACTGAGAGGAACACATATGGAGCACTCACCTGCTCCCGTGCACTTTCTATCATCTTCATTTTCATGGAAAACCTGCAGCTCCGGATTAGGGAATGAACATCTTCCTCTGGCTCTTGTGCTTCTCTCCTATCACTGAAACCTTCACCTTCATCCACACTCATACTGTTATCACCTGAAAGAGGAGTCAGCTTCTCTTCTAGTTTGCTAAGAAAGAAACATCTACACAAAACAAGGAAAAGCAAACCATAAGGTCAGAGCCTCATCAAAGAAATCTTTGACATTCTGGAAGCTACCGGATAGCACTCACACTGAAATTTTAGTTACTAAGGTTTTGCTTACATTATATACTGTGTTCACTCTTGGGACTCAATTTTTTCCCCATCTTAATAAACCAACTCTTGAAAGATCACCAAGGCTATTTCTACAGAGTTTTCTAGCTATCACTCAGTAGGTCCACTTCCAAACAATAAAGCATATAAACATTATTTTATATCTTCCTGAATAAATAACATGGATCACACAAATTATTTTTCTTCTTACATCTTCAAACTAAGGTCTTACACTCAAAAGTAAAAATGTAAAGAAACAGACTATGAATAATCACTGAAAAATTTAAAAGTCTGGGTTGACATAAATTATTTAGTTTACACATAAATAGAAGTAATCATATTTATAATTTACATACAATTTTATATAAATTTAATAAATCTAAATTTCTACAAATAATTTGTATGTTTATATACACTACACATTATAATTTACATAACTTTGTTCAAGTAACTTAATTCTCATTAATATCAGCAATACTAACAAAGGGCATTAACATATAAAGTTTATCCCTCATCGATAATCAAGTAACTTTCTGTTGTTCATCCAGGAACTACATCTTTTTTTTTTTTTTTTTTTAGGATGGGATTTTGCTATATTTCCCAGGCTGGTCTCAAACTTGTAGGCCCAAGTGATCCTCCCACCTCAGTCTCCTGGGTAGCTGGAACTACAGGCATGTACCACTATACTCAGCTTTCTCTAATTTTCTTAGAAATACTATGGCAGACAAACCATCATGCCTCACATCTATCTTTTGTTTCTTTTTCTGTTAACTTGTCCGGCCCTTGATTTGCTCCTATTCTTACCACACTGTTAGGTAATCCTGGCCCTCAAACCAACATGCACTGGCCCTCCCACCAAAGGCCACTGTTTTAAATTATAAGAATAAACAAGTAAAAGTACTATAAAATGAGCACTTCGTATTTGAAAAAATAATGAATAAGAATTTTCCCCCCAGTATGAATAAAATGTCCTGAGATCATAAAAAGGAAAGGGGTGGTAGGAGCATGGGTGAATATGTCTTATGGCACAGTGAGAGGGACTCTCTTGTGCCATAAGAGATGCACACAATTCTTCCCTAAGTTCTCCAGATAGAGGAAACAAACTCAACAAAGGTAGAGAAGCGTTATAGTATATGGCACATTTCTGTATGACATCTGGAAAGACAGAGTCTAAAGAACTGGTTTTCCTAGAAACGATGGAGTTGTGGCTCTGGTATAACACCATGAGCTCGAGCTCCTGTAACCCATCTCTTTGCTGGCAACAACTAGAAACTCTGGATAAAATACAAAATACACCTGAGGACAGAAAACAAATAAAAGATACAGGCTGTGTATGCAGGGAAATCAAAACTGGGAGAAGGTTCTGGCAGTGGGATGAGTTTCTTGCTTTTCTCTGTTTTGCCATGTGGGGAAATGCCTGCTGCTACAGAGTGGTGTTGCACTGAGTGTGACTGAGATCCTTAAAGAAACCCTACTTCTGCCCAGAGGACCCTAAAAAGGAACCCATGCAGACCAAAGATTGTAGGGGAAACCTGAAGGGGAAAGAGCCAGAAAAGGGCTCTCTAGTTCTGTGCATAAACCCACACAGGTCTCAGCCTACCCAAGATATGTAAGTGCAGAATGGACTCAAAACAGTGTAGGAAAGGCCCAAAGTGAGGTTTGAACTAAAAGAGGCAAGACACAGTCTCCCTGGCTCTCTGATCCAAATGGACCTGGGCTGATCACATGCCAGAGAATTATACAAGCCAGAGTCTACAGAGAATATCCATAATTTCCAATACACAATCTAAAATTAACTGATAAAAAGTATCTGGAAAATGTATCCATTTTCAGTGGAAAAGACAAGTTAACAAACAAGAAGATCCATGTGTCAGAACAATCAATCATATAAGGACTTTAAAGTAGCTACTTTCAATATGCCCAAAGAAGTCAAGAAAAATAACATACAAAAAATGTAAAGGTGGCTGGGAATCTCAGTAGAGAAAGAGAAAGAGAAAACAGAGAAGAACCAAATGGAAATTTTACAACTGAAAAATAAAATGGCCACACACTAAACAGATTTAATAGAGGAATGAAGAAAATGAAGGAAAATGGCAACACACTGAAGACAGATCAATACAAATGTACTAATCTGAAGCATAAAGAGAAAAGAGATTGAGTAAAAATGAAGAGATTCAGGCAGGGACCAGTGGAACAGTATCAAAATGTCTGAGAGAGGGAGAGAAAAATTGAGGCGAAAAGTATTTGAACAAATAATGAGAGAAAATTCTCAAATTTGGTGACATAAATATACAAATTCAAGAAACTCAGTAAACTCAAATAGGATAAAGATCAAACAAAACAATATCTAGACACATAGTAATCAAATTGCTGATAACCAATGGTAAAGGGAAAAGAATCTTAGCTTGGCAGGCCTGGCTAAGCACAAGGCCTCCTGGGACTTGTAATTTTGGGTCCTTTGGCTGGGTTGGCTGGGAAGGGTTAGTGGTTGGAGGCTCCAAGAAATGGCTGCACTTGGTTCAGTTGCTGGCACCATGTCCACCCTGACATGTAAATGGACACTGTACCCCCTTGCAACTAGCTGATGTGTAGACCTCTCAAGGTCAGCCTGGCATGCTGCTCATTGATGTCAGCTTCCCCAGTGTCATGCTTTTTGAGTTGCAGGACATCACATTTAAGATTGCTACATAATCTATCTGAATGTTCCTGTCCATCGACAAATCTCAATCCATAACAGCAGCTTAAGTGGATGACCTGCCTGAGGGACTACTGGCTAACAATTGGCCCAGACAGTGAGAATTTTCTCTCATTCAAGCACCAGACCATCTGAGCCTCAGCATGGGTAGGGTAGCCCACATGACTTACAGGAGGCCTAGGGATTGGGGCAGTGTAGCAGAAGGAACGAAGAGGCAAGACTGGCCTGGGCTGTGGCTTCCAGGCATGATTCTTGAAGTAACTACTGTTCTTTCCTTTCCAAAAAGCCTGGAGAGAGGGGGGAACTTCTTAGGCTTACTGCTGGTTGGGAAGTTCTTGGGCAGTAAACTGGGTCTTTGCTGTGTGTGTGTGTGTGTGTGTGTGTGTGTGTGTGTGTACGTGTGTGTACGTGTGCATGTGAAACAGAGACAGAGAGGGAGAGAGATATGATGTGCGACATGGCCAGTTTATTGGAGCTACGTTTCATTCTGTGAGAGTCATCACCACTCTGTCTTTCACAGGGGATGAGTTTCAAATCTACTAGCAGGGACCAAAGAGCCCTTTCATGACCTTCCTCAAGTGGCTCTTCCAACCCTGTGCCCTTTGGGATGTCTGCTCCATTCCTAAGGGTCTCCCAGACCCCAGCAGGTCTTTTGAGATGTAGCACTGTGGGTGCTGCAGAGATGATCTGGGCTAATCACACATCCAAGATCAGTCCACTTTGTCATGGATGGCTGCTATGACCTGAACTTGCTCTTTTACACTTGAATGGCAGTTCTTATCTGACACATTGGCCGTCGGTGCCCACCCATCCTTGGTTTGGACCATGAGAGACTGAAGTACATTCTCTGTGCATTCCTAGTGTTGCCTAGTACCTGTTCTGTTTGGGTCCATTCATAGATTCAAAATTCTCCAGGCTTACCTAGTTGCTTCAGCATGAATTCTTGGCAGGGGTATATTCTGTCTGCCTGGCTTCAATGCAATTCTTTCTCCTACCCTAAAAGTATTCCAACTCTACTTACAAAGAATTCTTGAGCACTCTCTGCCTCCCTGTGCACACTCCTATCTTCTGCTAGTTTCCCCACTTTGAGTGTTGTGGGCTGGGATGAACCTGCTCCTTCTAACCCTGGAAAGCCACTGCTGCCTTGCTCCTCATAGACTGGGAGTCTTGAGGAAGAGGTATCTTTTTCCTTCCTCTACAACCTCTAGTGGGCTTTTTTCTTTATGTTATGCCCACAAAAGAAATTTCCTATTTAAACTCTTCTGATGCTCACCTCGGAGGCAAAGCTGGGGATTTTAGGGACTTCAATAGTCCAAATTTGAGATCACTTGAACATGAACTATATAAGGACAGAAATGAACGACATCCCACTAAATAAAATTAGAACCCATGAGCCTATATTGATAATTTTTTGGGTGGATGAGAATGGGGTTCATACTTACAAAGCAAGTGCTCTACTTCTTGAGTCACAACTCTGGTCCATTTTGCTCTGGTTATTTTGGAGATGGGGGTCTTGTGAACTATTTGTAGGGCTGGCCTCAAACCATGATCCTCTTGATTTCAGCCACCCAAGGAGCCAGAATTACAGGTGGGAGCCACTGGCACTTGACTTATATTAACAATTGTTATTAAATAAATAGATGGGGAGAAGGCAGTACACTTCCTTACAATAAGATGTAGACTGACAAGCATGGAAAAAGTGGTGAAGCCAGAAATAGCCATTTTGCAATCATCCCTGTCAAGATGGGATGAGCCAAGAGTCATCCACAGATGTGAAATAGAGATGAGAAAGTCTCATGAGAAACAGGACATCTGCATATCTCAAAGCATCTCCCATATTAGTTCTGTACTGGTTGCAAAAGAAAAAAAAATGGTATTCAACAACGGAGTGACCAGAAAACATTTAAACAAGCAATCAAAATGACTATGATGGTAAAAGGCAGATGGACACTGTGTGCCCCCACATATGTTGTGACAGCCTGAGAGAAACAGAGTATTCTGGCTAGATGTGTATCACCTAAATCTCATCGTCAGAAAACATAAAACAAGGCCAAACTGAAAAATGCTCCTCTATAGTGTCAGTATCACGAGCAACAAAGAAAGGCTAAGGAATCATTCCAAAATAAAGGCAACTAAAAAGACGCAACTAAATACAGTCTGTGCTTCTGGAATGGGTTCTGTCCTGTAGGGGAAGAAATGCTGCAAAGGGCATTGATGGGACAACTGACAAAACTGAAATTGGACTGTACGTTTAAATGAAAAAATGGAAGCTGATCACTGTTTATACAAGAGAAGACACTTTTCTTAGGAAATGTACACTGATACATAAGTAATAAGGAAACATGATATGTGCAAGTAACATACAAATGGTTCAGAAAACAGTATATATTTACAGGAAAAAGGGAAAGAATAGAAGAACTAATGTGGTAACATGTCAAAAATGTTTTGAAAAGATTGATGAACCTGGGGAAAAGGCACACAGGAGAGTTCTACTTTTCTTGCAACTTTTCCACAAGTAAGAACCTATCTTAAAAATATATATTAAAAAAAAATGTGTAGTAGAGGAAATAATCCCAGAACATGACAGATGGGGTCAAAGTATTTGAGTCCTTTCTCCTACAGATATTTGCACAAAAAATTCACAGCCTCTCTGACTCTACTAACTCTTCCCTGAGTACTTAGTGAGTATCTCCCTCCAGATCCCACAGGATAGAAAATGGGGGTTCAGTGAGCTCAGACCTGGGGAAGTAAACACAAGTGTATATACAGGGAAGCTGAGAGGCAGGAGCAGGGTGTCAGCCCAAATTTTAAAAACAGAACAGTAAACAATCATTACGCATCAATCTTTGCTGTCACTCCACTACCTAGACGTCTGCTGTGAAAGAGCGGCGGATACATTCTCTCTCTGCCAGAGCATGCTTCCACCAAGCTCTCCAAAGCAAGCGGCTGGAAGTCTCCCCAGGGTAAAGTGAGGAAAATGTACTGCAGAACTGGAGAATTTGGTCCAAACAACCTTTGTGGGCAATCAGCACGTGAGAGAGGTACAACGGGCTTAAACCCCACACTGTTTTAAGCCAGGGTGTGGAAGAAGAGCAATTCTGACAATGTTGGAAAAGAACATACATTTGGCTCAAAAAACACCCCATCTTACCGACTTGTAATGATGTCATCCCAGATGTTCATGGGGTCCATTTTAGCATCTGGATATCTGTTTGTCCAGGTTTTTAGAAGTCTTCTAAGGGGAACCTGAGATGATAAATTACCTAAAAATAGTATTAGAGGGTAACACATTCAATGACAAATCCAACTGACAGAGGAGTCTGTATTAGAAAATACAAACTTCATTTAAATTTGTCCAAATTAAAAAGAAAGAAAGAAAAAAAAAAAAACCATGTTCTTTCTTTCAAAAATAAATACAAATCACCATACTACACCTAATAAATTCTGACACATAAACTCAATCACTTTGTGATATAGAAAAAAGATGGGGAAATCAATACACATTAATCTTTTTAACATTTACTACAGATCTACAATCCTTCATCTGCAACTTAAAACCTGAAAACCAAACCCTGAAAACTGAAGAGGTTTTCATAGGGTTGCAGTAAGTTTTCTTGAAGGCAAAATCTGATTTGAATTAGCACAGGGCTATTTATAGTTTTTGTTTATATTAATACTTAGGCTGGAGACTAATATCTAGAATAACCTACCTTCAAGGGTCTCACAAAAGCGATTTATAATAATCCTCATGAAGTTGAAATTTCAGATTGCTAATGTTTGAGGCTTTAGTTTTCTATCTGTTGCCAGGAATCAGTGGTTAGGAACACCAGCTTAATCCAGATGGCCTGGGCTGTTATCTTTCACTTCTTACCTTACATAAGTCATTTAACCTCTCTATTCTCCAATAAAACGAGGAGGGAAAAAACCTTACACTTCATAAGGTTGTTATAAAATCAAGGTAATATAGATAAAAAGATGAACATAGCTCCTAAGTTGTAGAAAGCACTTAATATTATGTATTTGAAAAATACTTCTCCAAATTTAAAACAGGGAACAATGAGGATGATATGAAGACCAATGTTTGGTTTAGAGCCTGAAAAATGTCTTTCATAATTACATTTAATTATTTAAAACAAAAATTGAAACAGATTTATAACAAAGGCACTTTGGAAAGATGCTTGGATTTCCCTGCACTTACAGGCACCAGGATAAAATCTATTATTAGCAAAACAAAGGCCTTCATGATCTGGGCATTATTGTCTACAGCCTTCCCCCACAATACCCCAAGCTCTCACCTCAGACTGATGACCACCCCCTCCCAGGTACCCGACAGCGCAACTTTTTGTAGAGTGAGTCTTGGTAAGCTCATCTCTTCACACTGCACTTGGGCCCCTCCTCCAAAAGCCTTCTTCCCCTTAGCCTAGGGCAGGCTCTGCCACTAGGGCCCATACTTACCTTGTGAAATCATCCACTATTTTGAATACTTGTTTAAGATGGGCAACGTTTTGCTAGCTTTGTATCCCCAGTGCCTATAGCAGTGCCTGACCATTTTATACATTTATTCCAATGACTTCAACAATTTGTAGAACAAACTCAAGACAATTTCCAACCCACACATTAAGATAGTACTTCCATTACTAAAAAAAAAAAAAAAAAAAATCAGGTGCTAAAACTCTTACAAAATTAGAAAGGAAAAACATGGCAGGTTAAAAATAAATTACCTTCTTTACTTATAAAGCTGATGAACTCCTGAATTTCTGTTAAAGCTTGTATAGACTGTAATTTGGTGAGTCTACTTCTTTGTAAAAGGACATCAATACTAGAATAATTCTAGAAAAAAGACATTTATCATTGTTATAAACCAATTTACTACTTAAAACTTTCAATATAGTTTTTGAAAATGTGAAATACAGCAACTGCCCTATAAAAATGTTAACTACTCAGTGTGTCTCAGCTTAGTTAACAATTAGGTCGCAGAATTATCGAGTGGCTTCAAGTATATTTTGGTTTGACAATACCAATAAAATCAATACAATCAGGCTACTGCTTTCTTATCTATCTATCTATCTATCTATCTATCTATCTATCTATCTATCTATCTGGCTGTCTATCATGCTGGGGATGGAACTGAGAGCCTTGAGCATGCTAGGCAAGTGTTCTACCATTGAGCTATATCCCCAGCCTGCATCAAGTTTTAAAAAATCACAACATCCTATAATGTAAAACTACCAACTATAGAAATCAATTCTTTCTTCCCCTTTGAGTGTGCTAATCAACTTTAAAATGGTACAATTAAAATGAAAGCACATGTTTTAATGATTAGCAGACACCAGTGATATATGTTGTTGGTGTACTCTAGACAAGATACTGGCTCACAAATAAGCCAACCCACAAACTGAGAGTAGAAGAATCTCAGGAAAGTATGAAGAAACAACAGAAAATGAACAGAAGTAAATCCATGTTCCTCTCCACAAAGCAACCAAATTTCTGTACAGCTATTCCACATATCTTGAAGGGTATTTTTTGGGCGGGGGGGGGGAACCGGAAGTGGGGGTGTGGTAATGGGGTTTGAACTCAGGGCCTCCCACTTACTAGGCAGGCATTCTACCACTTGAGTCACTCTGCCAGCCCTACCTTGAGAGTTTTTAACAGTGAGAGAAAGATAAGAACCAAAGAAAAAACAAAAGTGGAACTTTTGATTAAAATTTTTTTTGGTGGTACTGGGACTCGAACTCAGGTCCTCATGCTTGCTAGGCAAGTGCTCTACTGCTTGAGCTACTCCACCTAAAAGTGGAGCTTTTAAAACAGAAAAAAATATAATTAAAAAAGACGTTACAGACAAATGATGAGTGAAAAGCACTGTTAGAAGAAATTGAGGAAAGGAAAGAAGCAATGGCAAGTACAAATTCTTTGGCTTGGTCATTTTTTTTATGAGTTTACTGACTTTTAAAACTATTATAAAAATGGTATATTTCAGATAGACCTATCTGTATTACCTGCAGAAAAATCCGAATGCCATTTTCAATGTAATATTTGGCCCTGTCAACATCATCTTGCAGTATGTAAAGGAGACTCAACTCCTGACTATACTGAAGCTCTAGGAGAGCCTGCTGCAGCTCCTTGCACATAGCCTCATCCATAAATGTCAGCAGAGTCTGGTCACCCTCTCCTCGAAGAAGGAGCTTAAGTTTGCTGCGGATCATGTATGGTAGATACGTCTCCTAAAGAACACAAAAATCTACTTGTAAATTCAGAATACCAATCTGAGTATGTCCAGTTATTTTATTTCTAGGATATTCTTTGTAATAATTTTATAGGTCAAGATTCAGAGCCAAATTGATATTATGAACCTAAAACTGAAAATTTAAAAACAAGTGCATCTAATATGGCTCATTTTGTAACCACAAAATATACAGGGGTATGTTTTATAAAAAAACGGGATTTACTCTTAACTGGAAAACCACCCACCATGCTGCACATGGACTGTGGAACTTACAGCACTGTTAAGCCAGTGGCAGGTTGTGCAAGAGGGACCAGAAGCCACCTCCCAGTATGGTTAGAACAATTTCCCTATGGTACAAGAGACAACAGGAAATAATCTTCCATGTGGTCCGCTAATAATTATTTTAAAATATATCCCATTTATTTTGAAAGGACTAGCTAAAAATGATATGAAATTCAACACTATGGAATTTGGCCAGGCAAGTCAGGTTATATTAATATCCAAATGCTTAAAAATTATTTGAAATATATTTCTTTCTTGCTGACACAGGAGTTTGAACTCAGGGCCTCACACTTGCAAGACAGGTGCTCTTATCACTTGAGCCACTCCACCAGCTCTTTTTTTGTGATGGGCTTTTTCAAGATAGGGTCTTATGACCTATTTGCCTAGGGTTGTTTGGAACCAAAACCCTTCTGATCTCTGCCTCCCGAGTAGCTAGGATTACAGGTGAAAGCCACTGGTGCCTGGCTTATTTGTAATATTTTTAAACAGGTTTATTTGCCAGAAAACACTGGACCATTTAAAATATTTATTTCCATCACCTAAAACTAATTCTACTCACCTGATAAAATGGTTCACTCCACATTTTACTCAAGTCTGGAGGGTTCTTACTGTCTATACCAGCTGTAGAGCAGTACTCAAGTGACTTCCACTCAGAGAGGTGATTGTAACAGTCGAGGGATGCCAGTTCCCAAAAGTCCTTCTCGGCTTCTGTTGGCTCACCATCTGTCCACTCCTGTTTATTGAGAGCCTGGCAGAGAAAAGTTAAGAGGATAACTTTACAAAATGGAAAACAATACAAATTAAACACACATTAACATTCACATACAGACAATTGTTTTCAAATTTGTGGCAAGAACAGACAAAAGGGAGATTATTTAGAGTAATAGTGAAAAAAAAATCCTACAGTAACAAATGAATATAAAAACCCCAATCAAGAGGAAGTCACTTTTGAGAAACTTACTGGTGAAGCCAACTAGTTAAGACTTAAAAACTTTTAATGATTCATAATTTGATTTAAATTGAGACTCTGAGTTACGTGCAACTCAACAAGTTCTTAGATTAAACATTAAAATATAAGACATGTGCAGAGTACTGCAGAGGATTTTTAAAACTGGGACTGCGTGAGCACTCAACAGCCTCATAGGCTCTACACCCTGAAGATCAACATCCACTGTACTTGGACGGCTATTGGCAACACAACCAAAATGCACAAAACGCACATACAGTCATCATCCCAAATTCATCTTTACTTCCTTATGAATTTTTTACTTAATGAAGAAACTCAATCCTCAGATAGAATTATTGTACAGTTTAACAGAGCTTGGTAATTTATAAAATGCTTGTCTTTTATACAATGTTTTCTTTAAAAGAGTAAGAGATACAACAGTAAATATTTCACATGTGGTTATTATGGTAGCATATATGATTATTAGTAAGCTTTCTGTAAAACCTAAGGAATAGAGCTAAAGCTAACAGTTTTTCATGCAAAAAACCAAACTGCTTAAGCAAGTGACATATTTGCTAAAAATTGACTTTACCTCATTATAATGCTTAGCGGCTTCAGAATAATCACTTCTGGCTTCTGCTAACAATGCATTCTGACTGTCCTGTTTTATTCCGATCTCACTGCTAAAAATACCACGGAGTACATCATATTCTCCAATTGATCTATACAATCTATAAAACAAATGAAAAAACAAATCAGTGAATACCCCAGTATTTTAAAAGCCTTTGCACTAAAGAAATTAAATTAAATCAAGATTCCACACACTGTATTAACTAAGGACATATAAACTATTATTTTTATTTTGCTAAAATTTTTGAAGCTACCCTTACCTTTTGCTACTTTAATCATACAAAAGGCAGAAGTTATTCTCATGTGTACTTAATATTAACAAAATCTGAAAATACAAAAAGTTCACAATGCATAAATTATTTCGTTAAATAAGCCTCTATAAGTGATTCATTTGGAGTTCTTATCTAGCCCTAACCAAAAAGAGAAAAAAAAAAAAAGTCTGGCTTGCCAGGAGTGATAGTGTACATCTATAATCCCAACACTCATATGACACGGAGGCAGGAGGATCACAAGTTGAAGACCAGGCTGGGCTACATAGTGAAAACCTTGTCTCAAAGAAAAATCTGACTTGACCTTGTCAAACAAACTTCTCCCAAGATGAAATTCTTGAGTTAATATTTATTAAGTTTATTCCCTTCCTCCTGGAAATTTCTTTTCCAGTTTCAAGTCTCAACCTGAATGTCATCTTTTCCTAGAACTAGTTACTTGACCTGCCACTTAAGGGGTATTTCCTCCTTGACTGTCCTGCCTTTTGGTTCCTATCCTGGATACTAAGTCATTTATATTTCCATTTTCCACAAAATCTCTGTGAGCCCACTGAGTCCAAATTTAGATAAAAATCTAATAGACATGGCTCAGTTATTCTCAGATTATAGAGGGTTAAAGGTGACAAAACAGAGGCAGGGTGGTAGATTAGCAGCTCACAGTTAACAATTGAGAAGGAGAGGGGCGCAACAGATACTTTCCACTAATACAGGAAAGAGATATCTATACACCTTACCTGTTCCCCAGGTACCTGGCTTATGTTCAATAGAACATGGTCAAAACTCTGATCAGGATATGGAGCCAAAAAAAGGCTAAATTAGGTTCATTATACTCTGTCTGCAAAGAATGCAAAAATACCACTCAAAAATGTAATGAAATATTTAATGAAGTTAGAAACAAATGTGTAAAGCGTAAGTAAGCCCTTACAGTTCTAAGCTCCATTTCCCTAGCAAACACAAGACATGGGTTTCTTGTTCTCTGAAAATCCTATCATGCCATGTCATTTACTGTTCACTAATACGTTAGAAGCAGTAGGATAAAATGGCTGCTGGGTAAAAATAACACCAGCCATGAGGCACTCTCCAAATTGCCCTTGCATTGTGTCTTTCCCACCTTACTACCCACCTCTTCCTGCTACTTACGTTCTAGTTAGTTATTTATAAAAGTTCATTTTCTATGGCTCCTTCGTTTTGTGAATCAATTTTAATCAATTTCACATTCTAATTGTATCCTTTTACTATCTTTTCCCCTGGAACCTAAAGATCAAAATCACTGTAAAACAGTTCAAGTTTCATTTCAAACTTTACCTAATATTCTTCTCAGAATTAGGCATGGGTATGCATATGACAAAACTATAGTAAAGAAAGAATCAGACATAATGCACAATGGCACACTAAAAATGGAATTTGGTTTTCCCAGATAAACAAAGTAACTGGATCAAACTGTTTCTACAATTTTGATTCCTGTTGAAAATAGTAAGCAATTACTAAGTCTCTATTCAACTTAGCAATTTAAAAATAATAATTCACAGCCACACTTTATCAGGAAGCTAAACGAGATAGAAAATAATGAGTCCAAACAATTGGATAATGAAAGAAATTAACAGGCTTAATTAATGCTCTCTTTTCTTTAATGCATTCCTTCTCATGGCAATTATTCTTTTTTTTTTTTTTTTTAAGTGGGACTAGGATTTGAACTTAGCTTCATACTTGCAAAGCTGACACTCTCTTGCTTGAGCCACACCTCTAATCTATTTTGCTCTGGTTATTTTGGAGATGGGGTGTCATTAACTATTTGCCTAGGCTGGTCTCAAACTGTGATCCTCCTGATCTCAGCCTCCAAGTAGCTAAGATAACAGGTGTGAAGCACTAGTGCTTGGCTGCTACATGGCAACTATTTTTGACTAGCAGAATGGTAGCTACTCAGTCTGATTTTTAAAAATAATTTCATAGAAGTGTTACTATTAATTTCATTGGTTCATTTTCTGCCAAAACGAAGCCAAGTTTTTTTTTATGGTTAGACTCATTGTTCTCCTAGAGTCCTTACTTTGCAAGTTCCATCCACCGGAGGACGTCAGGAGGGAGGCAGGTCTTGCCCCGAATTCGCTTGGTAGGTGGTTCTGCAGGGAGCAAGTGGAGAAGTGCCTGCTCAAGAAGACAGATGCCCCCAGGCTGCTGCAGACTTGCCAGGCAACTAGCACGGACGGCAGCTGGGTCAAGGCTCAGCAATTCTGCATGTTGGCAACTGATTTCCTATGAAACCCAAACACATGTAGCTGTTAGTCTGTGACACTTGGACAGTATCTTCATAAGTGACTAATTCATTTTACTAAATATCAAACTAAGTTTTGATGTAAGTAGTGATATCACTGAAAGTTTCTTGTATAATTCTATTAACAAATTTTCCTTCAATATTCAATTTGCTGAAAGGAGGAAGTAACCTTTTATTTTTTCATTTCCAACCCAGGGATTAATTTAAAGCTAAATGAGAAAACTGAAGATATATATATTCAATTAATCATATATATACATATACTCCTCCCAATATATCCAAATAATAATTGCAATTTCTAGAACTATTTGCCCGACTTGGTTTTTTGGCAGATTTTTTTTTTTCCTTTTTTTTTATTGTGCTGGGTGGAGGTACATTGTGGCATTTACAAAAGTTGTTACGATATTCTCTGACTTGTTAAGAAAAGCTGAAACACAAAGATTTTATATCCAATCACCAAAAGAGTGGGTGTATTAATCTGCCTGATATTCCATGCAACATCTTTTTTCTATCCAGGGGCCTACTTATTCAACAGTATTTGAATACAAGATTTGAAGAATGCTTTATTTTGTAACTCTTAATTTGAGAGTCCTATAAACAAAAGGTAATGGAAAATAAACCCCAAATCAACATGCATAAAGACATGGCGTGACAGCATTTTCATTACAGCAGCCTATACGTGTGCACATGTTCCTGTGTAGCACCAGTCTCCTAAGACCTAGTGGTGGCTTGCTACTTGAGAGGCAGAGATCAAAAGGATCTTGGTTCAAGGTCGGCCTGGGCAAAAAGTTTGCCAGACACTATCTAAACCAAAAGCTGGTTAGTGGCTCCTGTCTATGACAGACAGCTATGCAAGGAAGCAAAAATAGGGACTGACAGTCCAGGCATAAAGTAAAGCTCTATCTCCAAAAAACAAGGGAGGTATGGCTAAAGTGGTAGAGTAAACCCAAGTTCAACCCCCAAAGTTGGAAAAAAAAAAAAAAAAGACTAGTGGTATAAGAAAATCCAAATAAAACTTTATTTCAATGAATTCTTCTATGTTTAAGACACAGAAAACATTTCTTACATGAGAAGATAATCTTCTGATAAATATATTTAAGTAGTAACCGAAAGTACATCTATGTTAAGTTCTCTGCTCAAACTGTGTCACCTTAGAAAGAACTTCTCCAACCACCATGTCTGTGTATCTATAAGGCCACATATACCTGCCCTGATCAAGAGGCCACCCACTCACTTGCTTCATTATTACCCTGACTTCTTTAATACTATTGTACTATTCAGGTATTCGACACACTACTACCTAATGTTCTGTGGATTGCCTATCACCTGTGGAGAATGCAAGTTTTGGGAGGAAGGGATTTTGCATCTGTGGGACTGTGGCCCCACCACCTAGACAAAGCCAGGCATGAGCACCGTTAACATCTCAAGAGACAGGCAAGAATTTGGGAACTACTACCTAAGGAAAGATAACTATACAAATCATAGGATTTAACCAAAGGTCCTGAAGGGACTGGCTTATTAAAACACTTTTATAAAAGTTTCATTTCAGATTATACTGTCATATATAACGGATTCCCCCTCCCCACCAAAAAGACAAATAAATTACATGTGCCCACTTAAGAAGAGGTAATCCAAGTAATTACAGCCACTCTGAAACATTTTGTTTCTATCACAAGTTTTCAACTCTGAAAAAAAAGTCATGGGGACATTAGATGTGGTGCCAAAGCAGACAACACATACTTTATAAGAAACATGTGCAGGCTCTCACCTGGATACAAGAGACAAATGGTGGGAAGAAAAAAAAAGTGGAATTAAGAAAATGATTGAACTCTTGGAGCAATTTTTGAGTGATGAGGTCTTTTTCAGACTTTGTCTTAAATTTATCCGTCTCTTTCAGAATACCAGAAAACAAACTGCTGAAAAGCTGTTTTGCAATTATTGGATCTTTCTGTAAAAAATTAAAAATAAGGACAAATTAGGGTCTGAAGTAAAAAAGCTACAATTCACTAGTATTATAAAAGAACTACTTTAAATGCCAACTGTTGCAAATATATCCACTGCACATCTAAATTCTGTTTAGAAATTTTTAACAGGTATTGTACAAGGGTAATATTTGGAATTTAACCAAATATATGCTTGATATGTTATGAAAGCATGGACCTCTGACTCTGAGAGATAAACTTAAAAGCTGACTTAACTGTCGTACAACCACACAGTTCACTTCCTGAGTTGAGTCTGCACCCCTAATTCCTCATCTTTAAACTGGGACTGAAGAACAAAGCCTCCTGATCGTAATGAATACTAGTCAAGATTATATGCCAACTGTTTGGTGCCGTATTTGGTAAGACCTCAGACAGTGACCAGATTCAACCTGTATGTATTATCCTTGCATTGGCATCAAGGTAAAGCTTAAAATAACTGATAGGTTTAAATAAAATGTCAACTTAAATTTTTGAGCTGTTAAATCCATCAGGGCTGTTTTTGTATTTCAGCTATAAGATCAGGCTACCTGATCATTTATGGCTTTAACCCTCACAGGCTCCATAACTACAGGAACACTATTCTTTAAGCATGTCTGCAAACACTGGTACCAAGAACAGTTCCCGGCTATCTATATTTATATAAATGAAAGCATGCACATATGAATTTTTAAAAAAGGTTAAAAATAATCTTGAATAAAGTTACATCAAAATAAAACATATAAATTTGGTCTGTATTGTATTATTTATTAATATAAGTAACAGAACATTACCACATAAGATTTTAGAAAATATGGATTAAGAAAAAGAAAATAAACATTACCTATAATTAAGCCACACAGAGGAAGTCACTGACACATGTTGGTCTTTCCCTGACCTGAGTACTCTGATACCTGTTTAACAGCCTGTGGCTTTCATTTAACATGTGCATAGGTTTCCTGGTTTACAGCAAACAGATGGCTGCAACGTGGCTCCTGAAAGGCACGTACAAATTCCTTCACTTTTCCAGCGAGTACTAAATTACTAAAATAAACAAGAGCCTCAGCAGCAGGCAGCTGTTGCTGGCTGGTCCCTGTAACAACTAGTGTACATGCCTCCCTATAATGTTCTTCACCGGCAAAAAACATGAAGAAAGGCAGCCCCAGGAAGGTCAAGGAGGCCTCATCTGTCTTGTCCACCATTGCACTCCAGTGATTAAAGCAGTCACTAGCATACAGGAGGTACTCCATAAATGCACATTTATTGAATAGATGAAAGTAGTAGAATTAGAAGTATCAATCAACACATACCTAGTCATGGAAAAGAAAAAATGAACTCTTGCTTTTACAAAAAAAAAAAACAAGAGTGCCATCTTTGTTTTTTTTGTTTTTAAGCACACATGAGATGAACTGCCTTGGACATAGTTCTCCCCCCAGTCTCAGGCTTACTAACCTGCCACCACCATCATATACCTTAGTGTTCTCTGGGATGGCCAGGGCAAAAAAAAAAAAAGAAAACCCATTAGCACTGCTTTGGACAGTAATGTGCAACACCAGGAAACTAGGGAGCTGAGAAATTGGGAGTGTACAAAAGACAAGAGTCTCATCCTTATTCCATACCCAGAGTCCTACAGCTTTCACCACCATCTAACCTTTGCTAATTTTCAGTCTTCATCTATAAACGTATCTAGTGATGGCCTCAATGTCACAAAATTACTGGAAGAATCTAGTGTGACAATATGAAGGATGTTCATGATAACAAAGGGCTATACTGTGGTGAGTTGCCTAAGTATGCCTGGGATTAAGCACACATGTATACACATGTAAACACAGGGAAAATGACCAGATTGAACAAACTCTATAGTCTAGCTAAACTAAGTACTTAGCTAGGGCGAGGTCTGAATACGGTACAAGAATTACGTAAGATATCTCCACTGGAGGAAAGTAGATGAAAGAAAGATACGTGTACCATATGCCACCTTTTTTTTTTTTTAAAACAACAAAATCTTATCTATCTATAATTATTCAGATCAAATAAAAAGCTTAAAAAGATTTAAAACATGGCAAAATGCTAAGTAGATGAATCCATGATTATAATCAATATTAGTAATAGATACTTAAGTATAATAAGTATATTTTTATATCCTTATGTGTGTTTGTAAGGTATGGTGAATGAACTCAGGACCTTTAGCAAGTACTCTACCACTTGAGCCACGCTCCCAGTCTTTTTTTCTTTAAATTTTCAAATAGAGACTCACGGTAACTTTGCCTGGGCTAGCTTCGAACTGGGATGCCCTTACCTCTACCTATTGAGTAGCAGGGACCAAAGGCATGCACCACCATGCCAGGCTTAAGACATTATAGTTCAGTACACAGCATAAAACTATATATGTATTATAATAGTTATACTTTATTTATTTTTTCCTGGCAGTATTGGAGATAGAACTCAGGACCTGAACTTGCAAGGCAAGCGCTCTATCACGAGAGCCATTCTACCAGCCCAATAATCTTTTGAGGGGTAAGATCTTACTCAGAAAATTTCATGACATTCCAAGATGGCGGCTAGAGGTAGGAAGCAGAAAGCGACCCTCCTATAGTGAAATCTTGGAGAGACGCTGGAGACACACTTTGCAGGCATAATCACCGAGAAAAGGCATAACTTTGACCCCTCCACAACTCCAGCCGGCGCAGAGAATCTCCACTCCACGTTAAACGGAGAACCGAGGAGGGCCCCCGGGGCCGCCAGTGGCCGGCGCCCATACGGCTTGGGAAGACGCGGACCAGGTGACCTTCACGGTACCACGGTAGCTCCACAGACAAGCCTGGGCCAGAGCAGCATAGCCCCCTGGACAGACTGACCTCCACCCGGGGAAAAAAGAGAAACTGAGTAATAAGCAATAAGAACAGTTAAGACGCTGGAAAGAGGGTTGGGCGCCCTGAGCGCTGAAGATTGGGGGAAGGGAATCCTTCCCGGGACTGTAAATAAACAAGCCGGGCGGGCCGGAGAGGCTCTGGCGGGAGCGGGGCGCGCGCCCAGCAACCAGGAGTGGGGAAGCTTGTGAGAAAAGACCCACTTCCCACATGAATTGTAAACAAACATGGCGGCCGGCAGGAGCAGCAGCACCGCCCAGTAAGCAGGAGCAGGAAAGCTTCTGAAAGTGGCAGTGGGAGGAAAAACTTCAGAGGAGAGAGGGAAGACCCACCTCCCACATGAAACTGTAAATAAAACACGCAGCCTGACAACGCGGGCAGTGTCACCTTTGCCAGTTGCTTGGAAAGGGAAAAGCCTGTTAGCAGAGGCTCCCGACAGGAGAACTCTGAGCAAACAAAGCCGTTGGGACCAGGTGAGTGCTAGCTCACCCCCAGAGATCTGCATAAATAACGCTTGCCAGCTACAGGCTGAGAGCAGCAGGCAGGCCAAGCCACAGTTGCAGGATACCAACTCTCAGAACAGCCTCCAGAC